AGCACTAGGCCACTCAGATATGAACTAAATCATATCCCTGATGTATATACAGTAGAGGTGACAAATAGATTTAAGGAATTAGATCTGATAGACAGAATGTCTGAAGAACTATGGACGGAGGTTCACAACATTGTACAAGAGGTAGCAAGTAAAACCATCCCAAAGAAAAAGAAATGCAAGAAAGCAAAATGGCTGTCTGAGGAAACTTTGCAAATAGCTGAGAAAGAAGGGAAGTGAAAGGCAAGGGAGAAAGAGAAAGATACACCCAATTAAACACAGAATTCCAGAGAATAGTTAGAAGAGATAAGAATGCCTTCTTAAATGAAGAGTGCAAAGAAATAGAAGAAAACAATAGAATAGGGAGGACAGAGATCTCTTCAAGAAAATTGGAGATATGAAGGGAACGTTTCATGCAAAGATGGGCATGATAAAGGACCAAAATGGCAGGGATCTAACAGAGGCAGAAGAGATTAAGAAGAGGTGGCAAAACTACACAGAAGAACTATACAAGAATGAGCTTAATGTCCCAGATAACCACGATGGAGTGGTCACTGACCTCGAGCCAGACATCCTAGAATGTGAAGTGAAATGGGCCTTAGGAAATCTGAGCAACAACAAAGCTAGTGGAGGTGACAGTATTCCAGCTGAGCTATTCAAAATCTTAAAAGAAGATGCAGTAAAAGTGCTACACTCAATTTGCCAGCAAATTTGGAAAACTCAACAGTGGTCACAGGATTGAAAAAGGTCAGTTTACATTCCAATTTCAAAGAAAGGCAATGCCAAAGAATGTTCAAACTATTGCACCATTGCACTCATTTCACATGCTAGTAAAGTTATGCTTAAAATCCTACAAGCTAGACTCCAGCAATATGTGGATCGAGAAATACCAGAAGTACAGGCAGGATTTTGAAGAGGCAGAGGAACTAGAGATCAATTTGCCAACATACGCTGGATCATGGAGAAAGCTAGGGAGTTCCAGAAAAAGATCTACTTCTGCTTCATTGACTATGCTAAAGTCTTTGATTGTGTGGATCACAACAAATTGTGGCAAGAATCAAAAGTTGAAATTAAGATTGCAGGGAGAAGTATCAACAACCTAAGATATGCAGATGATACCACTCTAATGGCAGAAAGTGAAGAGGAACTAAAGAGTTTCTTGATGCGGGTGAAGAAGGAGAGTCAAAAGTTGGCTTGAAACTAAACATTAAGAAAATCAAGATCATGGTATTCGGTCCTTTCAATTCCTGGCAAATAGATGGAGAAGAAATGGAGGTAGTGACAGATTTTATTTTCCTGGGCTCCAAGATCACTGCAGATGGGGACTGCAGCCAAGAAATTAAAAGACGCTTGCTCCTGGGGAGGAAAACTATGGCAAATCTAGACAGCATAATAAAAAGCAGAGACATCACCCTGCCAACAAAAGTACGTATAGTCAAGGCCATGGTTTTCCCAGTTGCAATGTATGGCTGTGAAAATTGGACCATAAGAAAGGCTGAGTGCCAAAGAATTGAGGCCTTTGAACTATGGTGCTGGAGAAGACTCCTGCAGGTCCCTTGGACTGCAAGGCATTCAAACTGGTCAGTCTTAGAAGAGATCAACCCCGACTGCTCTTTAGAAGGCCAGATCCTGAAGTTGAAACTCAAATACTTTGGCCACCTAATGAGAAGGAAGGACTCACTGGAGAAGAGCCTAATGCTGGGAAAGATTGAGGGCAATAGAAGAAGGGGACGACAGAGAATGAGGTGGCTGGATGGAGTCACTGAAGCAGTAGGCGTGAGCTTAAATGGACTCCAGAAGACGGTAGAGGACAGGAAGACCTGGAGGAACATTGTCCATGGGGTCGCGATAGGTTGGACACGACTTTGCAACTAACAACAACAACAAGGAAAATAATAACAGACATTTTAAAGAATTTTTTAAAAAGCTACCAATGTTAATGGTAGATCTTGTGATATTGTCTTCTCACAAATAAACCTTTCCCACCCACCTCGGGGAAAATCCAATCAGTGATATATTTCTGTCACTTACAGGTAGTCCTTGATTTTCAACCATTACTGAGTTCAGAATTACAATTGTAAGTTATGTTGGTCATTAAGTGGGTCAACATGTGACTGTGCTTAATTTTATAACCATTTTGGAAGCAGTTGTTAAGCGAACATCATGTCATTAAGTGAAGCCATTATACTAATTGGGCATTTTTTTGCCAGAAATGAGAAATAAATGTTGGTTTCCAGCCAAAAATGTCATAAATCCTAGTCACATAACAATACTCAAAATGCAATTGCATGATTGTGGGGAGAAGGGTGGACATTGAAACTTAGAAAACAGGTTGTAAGCAGCTGTGAGAAGATCCATCATAGCTTCAAACAGTTGCTAAGCAATCGGTCATAAGTGAGGCCTAGCTATATAAGACTGGACTAGGTCTGTAACATTTTCCTATTCCTTTTCTGAGCATTGTAGTTCTCATAAAATTTAAACATTTGGCTTCATGAAATGTGATGAACTGCATTCACCCAGCCGAAAAAGATGAGGCTTTCTCTCTCAGATGAATTGAATTGAGAGATGGGGGAAGCTATTTATACCAGCATAAATAGAATTTGCCAAGGACAAAGGAGTTAATAAAATGGCTGCCGCAGATCTAAACATAAACATGAAAATTATTTTTTACAAGGGTGGGGGGAGTGTCTTTACCTGGAGTATTTAACATAGGATTTTTTCCTCTCTCCTTTCATTTCCTATCTTATTAATCTAATCATCTTGGTCCAGTTTTGTCCCTTCTCAGTTGATATTTCTCTTTCTCCATCCTATATCCCTTCTTATCCTGTTTTCATCCTGGGGAGATGAAGAGAGGGGGATGATGATAGTAGTGATGATGGTTCACCTCCTTCTCCTCCTCAGGGAAGGAAATTGGAGGGGGAGGAGGTATGGGTTATTTATATTTGTGTATGTATGCTTGAGTGGCATGGTGGTCTAGTGGCAAAGATCCTTGCCTCCCATTGAACAGGTTGAGAGTTCAATCCTACATAGCAGCAGATATTTCTCTCCTAGGGCACAAAGAAAAAAAAAACTGCTATGAACTCTGCATAGGCATCAGGAAGGGCATCCGCCCACTAAAAGCTCAGCTGCATCCAGCTGCCTAGATCCTCTTCTGAATAGGGGCCATAGGATTGTAAAAAAGACAGCTTTTTGTGTGTATATGCTTGTTTACTCAAATTCTTCTTAGAGTGATTTGTGTCTGAGAGAGAATAGTTGCTAGAGGCAGATGAGTAACAGTTAGTAGATGTAAACCTTATTTTACAGATAGTTTGATGTAATTTACAATTAGTCCTCATTCAGTGACCACTCATTCAGCATTATGATGGAGCTGAAGAAGGAGACTTAGGACCGCTTCTTGTAGTTGCAGCTGTTTCAGCATCCCTACAATTATGTGACTGCAATTTGGATGCTTGTCAATTAGCAATCACAATTTGGGCCCTTGCAAGATTCTGTTAATGCAGCCTTAAAATAAAGTAGAAATAGCTCATCTGGTCGGTTTTTGGTCTGGTATACTTGAAAAGACACAACAATCTTTCATATCCAAAAGTACAAATCTCCCACTGTTTCTTTCACAGCTTGAGAAGTTAGGGAGAAGGGATCTCCCTAACTTCTCAAGCTGTGAAAGAAACACAGCTTCTCCTTCTCCTCCTTTTTCTCCAGTTGTTGTGCAGCTGCAGGCTGTACCTTCTCTTGTCTGATCATTTCCTAAGTAGCATTTCTTTGTCCCATTTCTCAAGGTCTTTCGTACATACCATTATACAGCCATGTGATGTTGCACTTAATGACCATGCACAATTCATTTAACAACCACAACTACAGGTACTGTTTTTGTAAGTCAGCACAGTCACAATTTTTCACTTTATAATTGTGTCACTTAGCAATAGAGTTGTCAGTTCTGATTATGGTCATAACTGAGGACTACCTGTATAATTATTAACTTGGTCTCTCTCTCTCTCTCTCTCTCTCTCTCTCTCTCTCTCTCTCTCTCTCTCTCTCTCTCTCTCTCTCTCTGTGTGTGTGTGTGTGTGTGTGTGTGTGTCTGTGTGTGTGTAAGAGAGAGAGTGAGAGAGCAAGATTTTACATAATTCAGCATATGAAATAGGGATATCCACCATTAGGGATCTTAATATGATACAGATGGCTTTTGATGTGTTAAGCTATGGAAGTTTAAAAATTTAGTACGTTATTAAAATTTTATGTCAAAATTTGTTCTATATGATCACCAACTGTGACCTTGTGATCTCTAAACTCAACTCCTGAATCAGAAGCTGCATGTTTTATTTATTTCTCTATTAGATTTCTATCCCATCTTTCCTTCAGGTCTTTGAGGTGACATACATAGGACTACATCTACCAGTTTATGCTCAGAATAACCAAATAGTAAAATAGTTAGGCTCTGAAAGAATAACTGGTCCAAAGTTATTCAGTTTGTATATTTCCACAGATGGGACTTGAACCTCCATCTTCCAGGTTCTGGTCCTTGATCCATTGCTCATTCCATCTGCTGATACTTCTATGCTCAGAGAAAAGGACCTCGGAGAATCATGCAGGATGTTAGGGGTGGGCATACTGTATTCACCTTTTCCACGATTGTATAAGTGCTCAGTGTGTGAAGAAAGTAAATAGCTATACCCACTTGTAAATGCTACTTTACAAGAAGTCCTTTAGAGCTTTCCCATAAATGGGTAGAATTCAACTGATAGTTATCAGTTAGCTTGGGATAACTTTAATGGAACTAAATCTTAGTGGTGGTTATAGCATCTCTCTCTCTCTCTCTCCCTCCCTCCCTCCCTCCCTCCCTCCCTCTCTCTCTCTCTCTCTCTCTCTCTCTCTCTCTCTCTCTCTCTCTGTGTGTGTGTGTTGGTAATTTTCTTCCTGCCCCAAGTCTATAAATGGTTTTTGAAAGAAATCATGAGCACAACGTACAAATATCTTTATTTTTAAGATCTTAAAGGCAATGTCATGCTTAGAAAAGACAAATAGTTCTTTTCCTTGTCTCATCCTGTACTTCACTGATGGTCTCTTGCTTTGACAAGCCATTATTTACATACATGCTCATTAAGATTTGACTATTTCATTTGTAACTTTGGCATCATATTGGTCTTTGAATTTGGTTGAGATTGATAATAAAAATCTTAGCTGTTTGTATCACTGTGGATAAATCTTCATCATCGTTTTGAGAGATCATCCTCCAACTGCATTAATTTATATTTTGGCTTGTTATCTAGTTTATCAAACCAAACTTTCTTTTGTCATCCTACAATAATCCTACATTTAGGTCTCTCCAAATTTCTGCATAAGCCTGAACAGAATTATCAGTATTTGATTAGCTGCCTTTGATTGACTAAGATTTTATTTTCCGGAGAAAAAATGTGGCTTCTGCCCAGAGCTGGTGGATGGATTTGGATGGCATAATTTGTCTGAATTACCCTTTCTATCATTCTGGTTGGGTTCACTGGAACTTCCACTTCCTAGATGATCAGAATCTTTGTTCTTCGTTTTTCTTTTCTGATGAATGTTCTGTGATTTTGACTTGTGAGTAGCCTCAGTGCTGTTTTTTCTTACAGGCAGAGGGCTCTTGTGAAACAAACTTACTTCTTTAGACTTTGATTTTCTTTGATCTCGTCTATGTCTCCTGTCTTTGGAATAGTTTCTACGTTTCTTCTCATCATGCAGAGATTTTGCTTTGTTTCTTCCCCCGTGCCTTTTTTTTGAAGCAGAACGTATTTCTTTAAATTTGCATTCTATGCTACCCTTTGATCCACTATTTTTATGTACACTGCTTCTCTTTGGTGATGGTGTTTTTGACCATGCTGGACAATATTCTTTTAATTTATTGATGGGAACCTCTGAGGGTTGACATTTTGTTATATCCTTTTTGCCCAATTTCTTCACTGTAATGATGTTAGCAGAATTTTTGTGATAAATGTTAAAGGCATTGTCATCTACAAATGCTAATTCATTTTGGGAACCCTTACCTGTTTCCATATCCATTGGCCTAAGAATCTGAACAGGATCTATTTCTACTGTGTCCTCCTTTTCTTTCTGTCCTTGAAATAGGTGGGAGTGAGAGAGGGAACCAGGGAGCTGTACTTTTTCCTCAGAGGATTTTTTAAGCAGTATATTTTTAATAATACGATAGGCTGAAACTATCCCTTTTTCAGTATCTTTGTTGGACAAATCCATATAATTCTCTTCATTTGTTGAATGATTTTTATCATCTGCTGTAGCAAATGTGGAAGGAAGGGTTTTTTCTGAACCTGAAAGCAAGAATGTTAAGTTTCCATAATCTAAACTACCATCGGGTTTGGGTACCTGACTGTTTTCAGAATGCTGCAGATGTTCATCTTCTGAAGATGGAGAAGAAGTTAAAAAATCAGGCTCTTTTAATATCACAGGGCATTCATACAAGGCACACCAGTCATACTTCCTCAGGTTTAATGAGGATTGAACAAAACTGTTGAACTCATGCAGGAAATGACCAGTGAAATAGCGCAAGTGGGGCTCTAAAATAGCTTCAAACTCTTTGCTGTCCAGATCATGTTGAGTCAGGTTACTTAGGATGAGGTTCTGCAAAGCATGAATTGTTGATCTCTTGCTACCAAACAGCACTTTTAATTCTCGTTTTAGCCAAGGGATCAGTCTGTCCAAACATTCAGGATGGCTGCCAAAAAATTCTGCTGAAAGTATTTGACTGAAATCTGGATTTGGAGCATTTTGAACTAGAATCCCTGCATGGTAAAGAGTTCTCCTAAACTGAATTACTGTTTGGGCTTTAAATTTCCCAAGGCTGATTAAATCAATATCATTGGGTCTCTCTGTAACTGCAAACTGTCGCATGAGCTGATAAATATCCTTCTGTCTTTGAGTTAATGTTCCGCTAATTTCATTATGCACAATTCCATTGTCAGGAGGTGATGTAAGTCTTTGAGAGGAGGCTGAAGCATAGTCTTCTTTGCTTTCAGAAGAAGAAAAACAGCTATCATTCAAAGGCAGGACATATTCACAAAAGGCACCTTTTCTGCGTATCATGTGAAAGAATGAATAGAAGCGCTGCTTACACAATGGACATATAACTTTCTTTCTGGACCACTTCTGAATACATTTGAAGCAGAATTGGTGGTTGCAAGGGTTCAAGTAAGTCGGGTCTTGGATCATTGCTAAACAGATGGCACATTTTGAATTTTTGGCTCCGTTTTGTTGCATAGTTTTCACTAAAGAACTTTTCCTTGAGGATCTGAAGCCAATCCTTGGCTTACATTTCTTCTGTAAGTGTCTCATGATCTGAAAGATGACCCACAGAAAGAAAACTCAGAAAACCTGCATTTTTTAATTGAGATAGTCTGCATGCTCATGGCATCATAAGCAAGACATCTGCAAATTTCAGAAGGAGAAAACTAAAGAGTAAAGAGTTTTTCATGTTTTTTTTCTGCTCAATTAAGACAATATTCCCAGAATTGAAAATATTTTAACACCTAACGCTTTTAAGTAAGTACCTAATTCTGAATCCTTACAAATCCCATCAAATCAAAACTCCTGTTGTTCCTGTTCCTAAAGTGAGGACTGGTGGAAAATTGGATTTTAAAATAATCCAAAATAAATATATTTTGTCAACATCATTCTCTGCCACCCATCTCCCCTTTATATGCTTTGTGTGGATAATCTGTTCAAACTATTGAGTGCCTGTAAAAATCAAACAACTTTATTTCTGCCTCCCCAATTTTCTTTATAGGAAGAGCCAGGATAAATGTACTTTTCAGACATTCACTGAATGTTGCTCCATCTTTCATTAACTTGCTGAATCACTGAACTTTCTTGATGATTCAGATTTTGATTTAGGGTGCTTAGTAAAATCCTGCTGTGACCCAACATATGAATCTCAATGTACGTGATTTTGTGTTGTATTTGTCCAAATTTGAACCTCTCAACTTATCTTAACCACCATTCTTGATGCAATTCTTTATATTTAGAACTTTACTTACTTTACTATAGTTCTTTCAACTTCTATCCTCTCCACTTACTCCAAACTTTCACTGAAAGCTCAGTTCTGCTTAACCTTTTTCTAGAATTATTGGTTTCAACTAATAATTCTCTCTCCCATAGAGATAAAATTCAACTGGGTAAACAGAACCCAGAGAAAGTTCTAGCAGTGACCTCACTATGGTGAGCAAGGAAACAATTTCCTACCTAATTCCTAAATTATTTGGGGGTGTTTTGTGTATTTTCAAGACAGAACATTTTTAAGGAGAGAAAAAAAATGAGAAAGGGTGGAAAAAGGAGATTAGAATGAATTTGACCTTTTTCGTTATCCCGTGTTGCTATTTATGAGCGCAGCTTTATATCAATTATGATTTTTCTCAGTGATTATGAATGAATTAGGGAGCTTTTGAAAGGGTGGATCTGCAAGGAATGTGGAGAACAAAGTGTTTCAAGTCTTAAAGAGCTACACTCTCTGGAGGACTTGGCCTAGCTGCTGCAAAGACTTTGCCTGGTTGTGTATGTCACAATTTTTCTGCTATAATTAATAATGAAATGAATTGTGCATGCATAAAATCATGGAGACAACGGGGGCAAAAAACCTAGCAGAAACTGTATCAAAATATCTAGCTGCTTTAATGTTTGAGGAGATTTTCTTCCTACCAACTTTTGTGAAACCCCTTTCCAATGTTTCACACGGCCTCAGAACTTTATTAAGAAATTATTAAGAACTGGTAATTGACAATATAACATAAACTAAGAGTATTGTTAAATGTGTTGAATTTGTGCTCTAAGACCATATTTGCCAAGAGAAAGAGAAAAACTGTCATTAAAGCAATATAAATCTTAACTGGACTGATTACTGAAATGCATAAGTGCATAAAGAATCATCTCCCACAAAAATTGTATAAAATGCTGGTCAATGATTATAGTAAAACATTTGGACACATAAGAGAAAAAACTCACCTGTTTGTGTATTTTTTTTTTATATTAAAGTTTTACAAAAGACATAAAAATGAACAGAAAGTAATGAGGGGCAGAAGTAGTAAAGAAAGTTAAAAACTGAAAAAAGTAAAAGTGCAGAAAAAAAGAACTGAAAAGGAAAAAAAAACAGAAAGAAGCTTCTGATTTCCTTTGCAACAAATATAAGTACAATCACAAAACTATCTCTTACTCTGATTACAAAAATAAAATAAAATAAATTCCACTTTTTTCAGTTATCTAATTCTTTTTCCTAATCGACAAATGCATTTTTTCCTGTTTCATGGGAAAAAAAGTCTATAAAGGTGTTTTTAGTTGACCATAAATGTGAGGAAACTCATATTTCGCTTTGTCCACCATAATATCACATCTGGATGTTAAAACCTAGACGGATATCTGGTTTTGCCCATGGGGAGAATAAATTTCATCATGGGGGAAAAAAAGTGAAGGCAATGTAGTTTTACAAAAATGATTGTACTTAAAAGCAACTCTGAGTTTCTCATAGCTCCGGGCTGGGAAACATCAGTAATACTAGGTAATCAAGAAATGAGAATGGCTGCCATCTTTCAGTGTATGGGATCAGTGTTGTTGTTGTTGTTGTTGCTGTTATTTATTTATTTATTTATTTATTTATTTATTAATAAATGGGGTTTATAAAATCTGACCCCTGGATGACTGTTCTTGTACTGTTTGTTTTGTTATGTTTTATGTGTTTTTATTGTTAGCCGCCCAGAGTCCTCGGGAGTGGGGCGGCTTATAAATTTTAAAAATAAAATAAAAATAAATAAAATTTCTTGGGTTGGAATGGTATGGTGTTATGGAGCTTATCGTGATATACCTATGCCATAAAAAGACCCTTAAAATGTGGGTGGATGCCTTAATACAAACTTCCCTGCATATTACATAGCATAATAACCAAATAATCAGACTGGTCTAGTGGTGAAGGCATCAAGTTAGAAAGTAAGAGACCGTAAGTTCAAGTCCAACCTTAGGCATGAAAGCCAGCTTTTCCCTTTGGGCCAATCACTTTGTCTCAGCCCAACCCCCCCCCCAGGTTGTTGTTGTTTTGGGGGAAAATAAGGGGAAGAAGGTGTGTTGGATATGTTCATCACCTTGAGTTTTTTATAAAATAAAAAGGCGGGGTATAAATTAAAGGGTTCTGTAACTGGAACAAAAAGAAATTGTTTAGCCTAACTATTGCTATCTCACTTTTGTAATCAGCGTTTGCGTCAGGGACAAATTTCATGCAAACGTGGGAAACATGTACATGGATGGGATGTACTGGAGGAGGGAATAAGGGACTGTACAGGAATGATTGATGTCTTCCTTATGATGTAATGGCCCTGTTGTCTGATTTTCATTGGCTAACAAAGTTTATAAAGCAATGCTACTAACTTCCTAAGGTGTGGCACTTCTGAACCCAACGCTGCCAGTGTTCAGATTGTGTTCCCACTCAGGACTTATTTTGATAGAAAATAAAGTGCTGTTTCCTCAAGAAGCCTCAGTTTGAGTTGCCTGATTAGACTTTTAATGGTATCTCAAATTTAAGTAAATGCTGGGACCTTACAAAATAAAACAAACAAATAATAACAACTTGAAAGAAGAGCCAGAGTGCTGATCTCATACATTTCTGCTTCACTCTTTCTCTGTTCTTTTTCTGCTGTTTTTCTCCTCTTGACTGTGTACAGAGAATTCTGGATGGATAATTTAGCATTTTGCATGCAGATAACATTAAACTTTGTTGATATCCTCATATGCATGTCTCCCTGGTTTCAGATTTTTGCATCACATTAGTTTGAACGTGGTCACCCAACTGCTGTCACAGATAAAACAGGATCTGGGATTGCAAAGGAGATTTTACTCAGGCAGAACTGCCTTCCAAGTTTGCTGTCCAAGTCTGTCCAAGTTTTCAAGAGATGGAATGGGGCACATGTACAGACGCAATGTATATCACTCATGGGTCAGGTTAAAACCATGGATAGGATTTCTGAATTTTACATCAAAGGGACTAATTTAATATTTTAATATTTGACCTACAATTTAACTTCTATTTTCTTGGGATAATGAGTGTGTATTCTGAACCTAGTCTTTTTTGATACCCTTGACCTAATGTATTAAACTGTTTCCTCACATGCACACACACATATATATTTAGAATGCCAGTAAGCAGATGTTTTATCCATAATTAGCTGTCAGCTGGACTTCAAACAGCTTAACCATAATGCGGCTGAAGTTAATTAAAGTTAGGATTACAATATTTTATTTTCTGAAAAAGAGTTTCTTGGAAGAGAGAAGTTTAACTCAAAACTCTTTAAGAACTTTTTGCAGAAAATGGATAAAAATTAGCTGGTGATTTCTGGATTTATTGATTAATAGGAGTCGAGTGTGGGGGAAAGGGAACTATTATTTAATTTAAGAGAAGGAAAATAGTCTCAAATATATCCATGTTGTAAAGAAGATTAGAAGTCACTTCTTTAACTATTTTTTTCTTCTTCCTCTTCACTTTTTGTTTTCAACATTTTATAGCTTTCTGACTTTTTCTATATTGTTTCATATTCATATTTTTAAAATAACATTATAAAGAAAAAATATAAGAAAAAAGGAAGAGGATAGCTTACAGAACTATGAGTAACACAAAAGCCTACAATTAGTTTTGCTCCTCTTTGACAGTGAAAATGCAAATATCTCATTAAACTAGCTACCCAGAGGTTATTGGATTTGAACCAGAGTTTCCAAATCAAAAGTTTTTGCCAATGAAATATGTGCTTGCTATATAAAAGTACAAGTTTCACCATCAATGATGTTTGTTGTGTGAAATCACAAGCCACTGAATAGTTTGCTGCATGAAATTATAGGTCTTTGCTGTTATACCAGTGTTTGCAGCATGAATCAAAACAGCATCTCCTTAAACAATTTAAATGAGTTTTTTTCTACTGAAGAAAAAATTCTCTCTCAAAAAAAGCAAACAAAAACAGAATAAGCAACCAATGCAACCTCAGCCTGGGTAGCATCTGTTGATGCCTCATGAACGGCAATACTTCTATTCCACCAAAAGAGCAGTTAAGAACATATTGATCTAGAGCCAATATCAATATGTAAGCAATTCAAAGTGCCAATCAACAAGAGAAAGAGTCAGCTCAGAATTCAAAGACCAACTGACCATATTGGCACATAAGAAGTTTATGAGCTAAGGAGACTAGGACAAGAAAATCCTGCTGGTATTACCTAGTTTGGTAACAAAACATTCAAGAATTATATTAACAAGCTTGGAGAACAAACACAATCAAAATACCTCTATTTATATAATTGCTAGCCACTCCCTCCCCTCTTTATGCACCAATCAGAAAGTAAAAGGGATGATACACTCTCTTAGGAACTATAGTTAGAAAGTGGCATCACCATTTTTTCTTGTATGCTGCCGCATGTGCTCCAGCCTCAGAGATTTCAATATATTTTTAATCCACTCATGGATGAATCTTGGCTAGGAAAAATAAAGTATCTGCAAACTCTGGATATTTGATAGCCTTAGCTATGTTTACTAAAATCTCTTTATTATTACTATTTTTAGCCATCATTGTAGCAATTTGATTCTTCCTGTTGCCATCCATATTATTGGGAGGACAAGATCATCTAAAACAAATAGCCACTTCCTTCACCTGATTAGGACCATCCAATGCTGTCAGTCATTAGAGAAAAGTATCTCAGTTACTGCCAATTGTGGTCTGTTGTTGTTGTTGTTAATTGCGAAGTCGTGTCCGACACATCGCGACCCCATGGACAATGTTCCTCCAGGTCTTCCTGTCCTCTACCATCTTCTGGAGTCCATTTAAGTTCACACCTACTGCTTCAGTGACTCCATCCAGCCATCTCATTCTCTGTCGTCCCCTTCTTCTATTGCCCTCAATCTTTCCCAGCATTAGGCCCTTCTCCAGTGAGTCCTTCCTTCTCATTAGGTGGCCAAAGTATTTGAGTTTCAACTTCAGGATCTGGCCTTCTAAAGAGCAGTCGGAGTTGATCTCTTCTAGGACTGACCGGTTTGAACGCCTTGCAGTCCAAGGGACTCGCAGGAGTCTTCTCCAGCACCATAGTTCAAAGGCCTCAATTCTTTTGCGCTCAGCCTTTCTTATGGTCCAACTTTCACAGCCATACATTGCAACTGGGAAAACCATGGCCTGGACTATACGCACTTTTGTTGGCAGGGTGATATCTCTGCTTTTTAGTATGCTGTCTAGATTTGCCATAGCTTTCCTCCCCAGGAGCAAGTGTCTTTTAATTTCTTGGCTGCAGTCCCCATGTGCAGTGATCTTGCAGCCCAGAAAAATAAAATCTTCACTACCTCCATTTCTTCCCCATCTATTTGCCAGGAATTGAGAGGACCGGATGCCATGATTTTGGTTTTCTTAATGTTGAGTTTCAAGCCAACTTTTGCACTCTCCTTCTTCACCCGCATCAAGAGGCTCTTTAGTTCCTCTTCACTTTCTGCCATTAGAGTGGTATCATCTGCATATCTTAGGTTGTTGATATTTCTCCCGGCAATCTTAATTCCAACTTTTGTTTCATCTAGCCCTGCCTTTCTCATGATGTGCTCTGCATATAAGTTAAATAGGCAGGGCGACAGTATACAGCCTTGCCGGACTCCTTTTCCAATTTTGAACCAATCAGTGGTATACACATCAGTGGTATACACAACCAATTGTGGTATACACATACACAAACACACAGGTTTAAAACATCCAAAATATGTCCTTTAGTTTAATCTGAACCTCTGCCCCCACTTGCACCATGTGTTAATTGTTTCTATACATTCTCACATTTGAAAACTTAATTTATTTCCAAATGTCTTCCTAATGGATTATTTCCAGCTTCAACTGTGAAGACTATGTCTAATCATCCTTATTTGACTTGGATTCTATAGGTTTCTTAATAGTAAATTTCCACAGTGATCTGGGGATATAGCATATAATTTTAATGAATTGTGATGTTCATTGGCAAGCATTGTATAGTACATTTACTGTGTTTGCATATAGGGAAAAATGGCATGCAATTAATTGTTCACTCTATAACTAAAAAAAAAAAACCCACCATCCTGCAATATTCTCTTTTTTCAAGTTGCAGTGGAAGACATATTGGTAGACCTATAAAGCCCTTTGCATGTGTCTAATAAATGGCTCCCCTTTATGGATTACTGCCTTGTCATTGCGAAGGGGCTTGTGTAACTCAATGAAGCTATAAGCTTTGCCATGCAAGGCCACCCAAGACGGACAGGTCATAGCAAAGAGTTCTGACAAAATGTGATCCACTGGAGAAGGAAATGGCAAACCACTCCAGTATCTTTGCCATGAAAACCCCATGAACAGTACTAAAAGGAAAAAAGATATGATGCTGGAAGATGAGCCCCTCAGGTTGGAAGGTGTCCAATATGCTACTGGGGAAGAGCAGAGGGCTAGTACTAGTAGCGCCAGAAAGAATGAAGCGACTGGGCCAAAGCCGAAAGGATGCTCAGCTGTGGATATATCTGGTGGTGAAAGGAAAGTCCGATGCTGTAAAGATTTTTTCTCCATAGGAACCTGGAATGTAAGATCCATGAATCAAGGCAAGCTAGACGTAATCAAACAAGAGATGACAAGACTGAACATCAATGTCTTAGTAATCAGTGAACTAAAATGGACAGGAATGGGTGAATTTAACTCAGATGACCATCAGGTATACTACTGTGGGCAAGAATCCCTCAGAAGAAATGGAGTAGCCTTCATAGTCAATAAAAGAATAGGAAAAGCAATACTGGGATACAATCCCCAAAATGACAGAATGATCTCAATTCGAATCCAAGGCAAACCATTCAATATCACAATAATCCAAATCTATGCCCCAACCACTGGTGCTAAAGAGGATGAAATTGACGGTTCTATGAAGCCCTACAGCACCTTATAGAATTAACACCAAAAAATGATGTCCTTATCATCTTGGGGGATTGGAATGCTAAGGTAGGAAGCCAAAAGATAACCGGAATAACAGGCAAGTTTGGCCTTGGAGTACAAAATGAAGCAGGGCATAGGCTGATAGAATTTTGTCAAGAAAATACTATGGTCATAACAAACACTCTTTTCCAACAACCTAAGAGACGGCTCTACACATGGACATCACCAGACGGTCAACATAGAAATCAGATTGACTATGTGCTCTGCAGTCAAAGATGGAGAAGCTCTATACAATCAGTAAAAACAAGACCAGGAGCTGACTGTGGCTCAGATCATGAGCTTCTCGTTGCAAAATTTAGGCTTAAATTGAAAAAAGTAGGGAAAAGCACTAGGCCACTCAGGTATGAACTAAATCATATTCCTGATGAATATACAGTAGAGGTGACAAATAGATTTAAGGAATTAGATCTGATAGACAGAGTGCCTGAAGAACTATGGATGGAAGTTCGCAACATTGTACAATAGGTAACAACTAAAACAATCCCAAAGAAAAAGAAATGCAAGAAAGCAAAATGGATGTCTGAGGAAGCTTTGCAAATAGCTGAGGAAAGAAGGGAAGCGAAAGGCAAAGGAGAAAGAGAAAGATACACCCAACTGAATGCAGAATTCCAGAGAATAGCTAGAAGAGATAAGAATGCCTTCTTAAATGAACAGTGCAAAGAAATAGAAGAAAAAAACAAAATAGGGAGGACCAGAGATCTCTTCAAGAAAATTGGAGATATGAAGGGAACGTTTCATGCAAAGATGGGCATGATAAATGACCAAAATGGCAGGGACCTAACAGAGGCAGAAGAGATTAAGAAGAGATGGGAAAACTACACAGAAGAACTATACAAGAATGAGCTTAACGTCCCAGATAACCACAATGAGATGGTCACTGACTTCGAACCATACATCCTAGAATGTGAAGTGAAATGAGCCTTAGAAAATCTGAGCAACAACACAGCTAGTGGAGGTGACAGTATTCCAGCTGAGCTATTCAAAATCTTAAAAGACGATGCAGTAAAAGTGCTACACTCAATTGGCCAGCAAATTTGGAAAACTTAACAGTGGCCACAGCATTGGGAAAGGTCAGTTTACATTCCAATTCCAAAGAAAGGCAATGCCAAAGAATGTTCAAACTATTGCACCATTGCACTCATTTCACATGCTAGTAAACTTATGCTTAAAATTCTACAAGCTAGACTCCAGCAGTATGTGGATTGAGAACTACCAGAAGTACAGGCAGGATTTTGAAGAGGCAGAGGAACTAGAGATCAAATTGCCAACATACGCTGGATCATGGAGAAAGCTAGGGAGTTCCAGAAAAAGATCTACTTCTGCTTCATTGACTATGCTAAAGTCTTTGATTGTGTGGATCACAACAAATTGTGGCAAGTTCTTAAAGAGATGGGAATAACAGACCATCTTATTTGTCTCTTGAGAAACCTATATGCGGGTCAAGAAGCAACAGTGAGAACTGGACACGGAACCACTGATTGGTTCAAAATTAGAAAAGGAGTCCGGCAAGGGTGTATACTGTCGCCCTGCCTATTTAACTAATATGCAGAGCACATCATGAGAAAGGCAGGGCTGGATGAAACAAAAGTTGGAATTAAGATTGCTGGGAGAAATATCAACAACCTAAGATATGCAGATGATACCACTCTAATGGCAGAAAGTGAAGAGGAACTAAAGAGCCTCTTGATGCGGGTGAAGAAGGAGAGTGCAAAAGTTGGCTTGAAACTCAACGTTAAGAAAACCAAAATCATGGCATCCGGCCCTCTCAATTCCTGGCAAATAGATGGGGAAGAAATGGAGGTAGTGACAGGTTTTATTTTTCTGGGCTCCAAGATCACTTCAGGTGGGGACTGCAGCCAAGAAATTAAAAGACGCTTGCTCCTGGGGAGGAAAGTATGGCAAATCTAGACAGCATACTAAAAAGCAGAGACATCACCCTGCCAACAAAAATGTGTATAGTCCAGGCCATGGTTTTCCCAGTTGCAATGTATGGCTGTGAAAGTTGGACCATAAGAAAGGCTGAGCACCAAAGAATCGAGGCCTTTGAACTATGGTGCTGGAGAAGACTCCTGCGAGTCCCTTGGACTGCAAGGCTTTCAAACCGGTCAGTCCTAGAAGAGATCAACCCCAACTGCTCTTTAGAAGGCCAGATCCAAGTTGAAACTCAAATACTTTGGCCACCTAATGAGAAGGAAGGACTCACTGGAGAAGGGCCTAATGCTGGGAAAGATTGAGGGCAATAGAAGAATGGGACGACAGAGAATGAGATGGCTAGATGGAGTCACTGAAGCAGTAGTGTGAACTTAAATGGACTCCAGAAGATGGTAGAGGACAGGAAGACCTGGAGGAACATTGTCCATGGGGTCACGATGTGTCGGACACGACTTCGCAATTAACAACAACAACAACAATAATAAATGGCAAGGATTAAACTAGGCAGGTGAAGGGAACTATGCAACCTGATTCTAACCATGCATCCTTAAAACTTAATCTTAACATATAGTAAGGGTGTGTGCAAAGGATTTGTACACATCAATGTGACTCAAAGGTGTATAATTCTATGTCAAGAGTGCATCATACTTTTGGGGGTAGCAAGCTGTAGTTCTTCATAAAATAGTGATTTAATTTAAACATAATTAATATTGCATTAGTAAAATAGTTATATGAGTACTCCCTATGTAATAATTAATTTCCCGTTGGGTCCCATTTAGCATGTGAGAAAAGAACAATGAATCTAAAAAGGAATCCAAATTTAGTAGGAAATGTGTTAATTCTAACATAATCTACAGTGGAATAGATTAGTTTGTACCATTTGAGTTACTCTTACTGTGCAGTCCAGTTTCCAATGAACCCACACAAAACATTGGGAAAGTGATAGTCTATCTTTAATGAATATATAAATATATACAGATATTTCATAGAAATTATACAGGGATCATAAAGCATCTGCGGGAAACTGTTCTCTGCTGTCAAAGAATGATCTAGCACTGCATAAAGTATGTAAGTAGCATCACTTTCAATTTAAAAACACTCTCATATAACTATGGCTTCAAAAATCCTTCAAAAAAACTTTTCAGAACATGTTAAATTTCATTCCCTGTACATTTTTCTTTATAACATTTGAGGTAAGTTATACAATGGGCCTTGGATTACCATCAGTGTTTTTTTTAAGATTCTACCAGTTTTGGGCCATTATACATTAAGCACATTTTTTTTTCATTTATATGAATTTATTGGATTGAGTGTAACATGTAAAACTTCAGTAAGAGAACTAGTTCAAAAGTTCTCTTATGGGCTATTGGGTTGAAAATTTTGATGTACAAATCATGGTCTTTTAATACATGTAAAACATCCAGGTTCCCACTTAATAGCAGAACCACTTGGAGGAGTTTCAGTAGAACACGGCAGCTCTGTAGTTTTAGTCATTTTTTCATCTTGCCAAAACAATTGACCAGAATCATCCATTTCTCTTGTTTTTACTTCAATGTGTTCAATAACCAAAATGTCTTCTGTTTGGGGCTGAAGCATCTTAATGACAATCATCTCCTCTCCTTTGTGATGAATCACTTTCGTACTAACTAAATCTTGTTGTTGCAATGAGGTCTGTCCCATGCCATTTTCTTCTTGTTCTTGGGATGGAAGCTGCAGAGTGTTTGACGTAGGGTTACTGCTAACAAGCTGGCCAACATTAGGTATAGCTGTACCTGGACCATTGGAAAGGCCATCAACAAAATCAATACTTAAGGACACTTGCTTATGTGCCAGTTCCTCTTCTTCTTCCTCTTCTTCTTCTTCATCATCATCTTCATCCCCCTGCTCTTCAGCAATATTGGTCTCTGCCCTCTCCTTACAGCCTGGGATGAATTTGCCTAGTATTGGAGTCCTCTCTTCTAGTTGATTCAGAACACATTTGTGTGATGGACAGTGTCCATTGTGAGTACTTAAATGTCCATCAGCTTGGAAAAATGCATCCATATTATCTTCATTTCTTACAAGTTCCCCATCAGAAGATCCAAAAGGAAGAAAAAAATCATCCAGAATATGCTCTAAACTGGAACTAGTTGATTCCTGGACTTCATCATCCCAAGTTTCTTCCTCATCACTTGCCATTGATTCTCCATCTTCCACATCATTCTCATCTGAGTCTTCTGTTTCTCCTTCTTCCTCCTCATCTTCTGAAGAAGATGTAGTAAAAGAAGAATGGGTCTGAAACCCATCATCATGCATGGGGAAGGGAACATCATAACTAGCTCTCCAGTCATAAACCTTAATGTTGAAAGGAGAGCGAGCAAAATTAATGAATTCATGTAAGAAGTGATTGGTGTAATGGAGTAAGTGAGGCTGAATCACATCAGCAAATGCTTGACTCTCCAGATCATAAACAGTTATGTTATTCAGAATGATGTGCTGTATGTTATTGACTAATGATGCATGTGTTCCACACAGAACTCGTAGCTCACGCTTCAACCAAGGCACTAACCTGTTTAGGCGGACAGGATTCCTGTGAAAAAAGTCTGCTGATATATCTCTATAAAATCCTCCAGTTTGGACATTCCTGACACGAACTCCTAACTGATATAGAGTTCTTCTGAACTTCAGTGTAGCCTGTTCTCGAATTTGTGCGAGGGTTATTCCTCCAGGATGAGATGACCTCCTTATTCCAAGTTGTCTCATCAGCTCATCAAGCATTCTTATCCCATCTTGTGATTGGAGACCTGAGGATCCTCCATATAAGATCCCATTATCTGGTAGTGCTTCAGGTCTTTGATTAGTTGCTGATCTCTCCCCACACATGTTATAGGATGCATTTTCAAAAGGAACAATGTATTCCTCAAAATCTGTGTCAGATCTTATGGTATGAAAGAAAGAATGGAAACGTTGCTTGCAGAGTGGGCACTCTGCCTTCCTGTCTGACCACTCTAGGATACAGGCAAAACAAAATCTATGGAAACAAGGGTTTAAGAGGGCCACATTCCGTATTCTTTCTAAGCAGATGGGACACCTTGAGTCTGAAGGTCCATCAGTTGGCACGGTAGTGTTTTCATTTCCTGTCCCAGTCAGGGATAAAAAGCTACTGTCAGAATGAAGTTCTTCATTTGATGATGCCATAATCTGATGAAGGAGAAGATGACACAGTCAGTATAAAGGCTTGAGTAATACAATGATTAACCATAAAAACAGTGTAATATGGTAAATGTGACATATATGCATGGATGCATATATAAGTTGGGCTATCAGAATATGTATTTTCCCCAATAGTATTGCTAAGAGTTTTCTTACTCCTTCAGAAAAAGACCGCCACTCTACAATTTTTTTTTTGAGCATTGTTTACTTACAATACCTTATTTATTTTGTGGTGGCTGTCTTTTCTTCCTTACAATGCCCTGAAATGGCATTATTAAGTCTTCGTGGCCAATACAGAATGGTGGACAAATTGCCAAGGCAGATGTTGCTATTGTCATTTATAAAGCAAGAAAATGAAATAAGTGAAAAAAGGGATACTCCCATTATAGACTAAGAAATAAAGGAGAGCTTTTTCTCTCACTCATAAAAAGTGGTAAATTAATGTCTCTTCATACCGACCTCTGTTTTTCTGTCATAAAGAGAAAGAAAAATTTTGAGAAGCTATTTATACAAAGCTTTTGTGTAGAGAGGGATGGGTGGTGAGATAAAACACTCACTCACAAACTGCCTATCTAAGCAAGCACTTGAGAGAAAAAGCTTGTAGCATCAAACAATATCTTTGGAAAATTGATTCTTCTGTATCCCATAATGGTGGACCCCAGTTTCATTATGTCAACTAGAATGGACAGACCAGTAGGATATGACTGCTGAGTTTCAGTCGCTGAGCTGATAGTATGATTTTCAGCTCAAAAATGCTAAAGTAAAGAATGGACTGGAAAGGCAAGACTTCACTGTCCTCAAATCATCTCATTCCCATCTTTAACCATTCCCTGCAAGTTCTCCAGTTCTGCTGCAAAAAAAATGTAGGCCAACGATGCTATCATATTTCTAGCAGACAGCCCAGGGTCTCACTATATCTGCAGGGAGACAAGTTTAGCCCTCAGGCTGAAAACATCCATCTGACCCTGACTAAAACAATGTGTATTTCTAAGATAGAACAGCAAAATAAAGAATAGATATTACAAACCAAAACTATATCAGGTTCCCCAACCTTCAGCTGCTTGGAAACAGGACGCAGCAGCCAAAGTGGCAGTTATAGAATCATCTAGGACAGAAAATTCCAAAGTGTGCTATTTGTTGTAGAGAAAATGATGTCAGATACGTTCCTGGAGGTGGAGAGCTTGTGGTGTTAAATTGTCTCTCTGCATCCATAGCTATTGCAGCAACTAGCATTGCTAAATTGATAATAAGCTCATAGAACGAACCTTACAATGTTGGCATGGTGGAACTCATTTAAATCCCAAATCCCAGAACTGTGCGCTGCAATGTGTTGCTGTAAAACTGAGATCTGTGATATGTGTCCCAAGGGTAGCTATCCCTTCCCCTCCCTTCCCCAATATTTTGCATATTGACCTAAGAGCCCATTAAAGTATTGCTGCAAAACTGTAGACCTCAGAGACCATTGAAATATTGATTTGAAAGTGTAATTTTTCATATGACAGGAAGGCAAAGTTATTAAACACAGAGGGAATAATTATATAAACTGTATTTAACTAATTTAATTTTAATGATACTGAAATTCAATTAAGTTTCATTTTCATCCTGGCTCTCTGATTTCTTTATTCTGTCCTTATGCAGTATTAGGAGTGTACTACCAAGATGGTTTTTGAACGTAACTTCAGCTCAGGAAAGGTTGTATGTTCCTGACCTAAAGAAAATTCACTTAAGTGTAATATTTATCTTGGTGTTTATTTGAAGTAATTTCTTTAATTAAGAAATCATTAGTGTCTTTAATATATAACAGGAGAATGTCTATGGAGATTCTCAGTCATCCAGGTCATAATTATCCCAAAGATGCTTTTCACGAGGCAACTGGACTTTCTTGTTTTTCTTTGAAGACATTTCACTTCTCATCCAAGAAGTATCTTCAGCTCTGACTGGGATATACTAGGAAACCTTTTCAATTATCATTTAAATCCAATAGAAAAAAAAAAATTCTGATCCCTGGAATTATAGTTGGCCTAGATATATTTTAGAAGGCATCTAGATGCTCAAATAGATTAAAAATCTCATTTTAAAATAGTTTTCTGCATATATGTTAGTTGTTATGTGTTTGTCAAGGCTACTTTATTTTACATGTACCACTCAGTTCATGCTTTCAGTGTGACAGTCTTGTGCTATTGTATCGGAGCCCTCAATGTGTAGAAAGAGAAGAGAAAACGCCCGGACATCACTAAGAGACATTTTATGCATTTTGCAACACAATCAAAGTAATCCAGTGGTCTCCAATTCCTCCACTGGATACGATTCTTTAGAATGGGACTTCCAAGCAGAGATCAATAGCCAGCAGTTCATAGATCTCTCCTTTCCCATGGAAGTGGATGTTTCCCTCTAGTCTGAACATACTGCTGAAATCTGCTGAGCAGCTGCACAGCTCACACAGGATGATGTGAATACAAACCTGATAAATAATGAAAATATAACTGACATTATAACCAGACAGAGCCTGCTTATAACACAAACTGTCCTTTCTATTTTTGAGCTGTTGTCCAGAGTTAACACCAAGTGGTCTCTTTAAAAGACATCTTTGTAAAACTTTTTGAAAACCAATTAAATGGCAACTTGGCTAATTGACAGATCTGTACAAAGCATGCCATAGAAGTGGTTGGCAGAGAAGTTATGACAACCTTATCCCTACATCAAGGAAGAGAGTGATGATCAAAGACAACTCATCACTTGTGTGGGAAGATATGAGAAACAGAAACTAAGGGGGAGAGGCATTTAAGCTACACATCCTACTTACAGCCTAAACAAACCACCTACAAATTTTAAGTAGCAGAGCAAACAGAGGACAATATGGATCAAAAAGCAATTACCTTATCTTTAAGCCAATTACTACCCTATGAAAAGCAGCTGATTGTTTTACAGTGGCTGAATGGCTTCCACTCAACAGAGACACTAAGCAAATTTTTCTTACATTCAGGCAATTCACGGTCCCCAGCACGCTGTCTAAAACAAATCTTCTTGGTCTATTTTTCCCTCCAGAGAACATGGCACTTTAAAGCAGGGGTCCCCAACCCCCGGGCTGTGGCCCACCTCTGGGCCTTGAGCCATTAGGAACCAGGCCACGGAAGTGGCGGACAAGTGAGCATATCCCCACTTGCTCAAACAATGGGCAACTGCGTCCATGCTCCATTTGCATAGAATCATTCCCTCTCCCCCCTTCCAGGTTCAACATCATAGTACTCCATGGTTACTACCAGACATGGTTAACTACCAGTGATGAAATGTTCACCTATCAGGTTTCAGATCATGATCTAATGCACAAATTCAAAGACAGAAGGATAGCCTGAGGAAATATACATACTTGTAAAGGCAGAATTGAGCTGCCAAGAGTAGGAACAGGTCCTCAGAGAAACCCCTTTTATCTTTTAGATATTCAATTTAAGTATAAATCATCTGAAGTTGCTAAATGTACACTTACCTTCATATCCCTTTCCATGCTTCTCCCCTGATATCTGGATGCAATTAGAAAAGGTAGTCTTAGAGATAAATATAAAATATCCCAAAGTTGATCCTACTGAATGACTTTTATGTTAGGATGGGGACTTATTTGCATGATTCTGCCCAGACCTGAGGATTATTTATTAAATGGTCCACCTGGCAGGTAAGAAACTCTAAAATGGAAATGGTGGGCTCTAAACTGATCTCCTTTACCTATACTTGAAATCTTCATATTTGCTTTATGTATTACTGAGAATGCTAGTTTAATGCTAATGCTAATTTTAATGCTAAATGCTAGTTTTTAGAGCAAAGTATCCTGAATTACATATGTGTCTCAAGAGACAAATCTATCTTACACTCACTGTTTACATAATGGAGGCTGATAGTGACCACTGACAAATTGCAGTTAACTTTTATGGCAATGTTGACATAAGGCTACCTGTATTATACAACAAGAGGCTACTTGCTAACTAGCAAGCTAGGAGGCTCAAATGCCAGTGATTGAGAAATTGCTAGCTTTATGAACTCTGAAAGACACAGTCTTTGGTGAAAATACGCTATTCCAGATCCAAATGGAATTTTTACCATGCCATCTGTGTTACATGTTAAAAAAACAAAATAGGAAAATTGCCAACTAAAAACTGACAGCCCATAAGATCTAATTGGTTCAACCTTGATTGCTCTCAAGAAAGACCCTAAAAGCAGCTATCATTTGGTTCAAAGAAACCCCCTCACCAAACAACCACATCAAGTTATTAAACTTAAATGCAATTACAAGAAACCAATAGCAACCAAGAAGGCTCAATATAAAGTTACAGTTTGGTCTGAACAAAAAAAGTCAGGAAAAGGGTCTAGTTCAGTCATATTTTGGAATATAGTATCTGGTATGCTGAAGGAATGTAAGCTTCTACTTGATATCCCCATCTTAGCTATGTTTTTATACTAACTTATTTGCCAGCTCCAAAGAGGATCATCCAGAAATGATGGCTACTGAGTTTTTGACCCATGATAATCTCTCTCCTTGGCCACCAGTGTCAGTGACATAAATTAAACACATTATTCAGTCACTGTAACCCATCAAGGCTCCTAGTGAAGTCTTTCTAGCCCCATAACTTTTCAGGATATAATATGCCCAACAAGTCCTGCTAAAGTGCAGCCCACCATTCAATGTGTGTGTGTGTGTGTGTGTGTGTGTATACACACACACACAAATACACACACACACACACACACACACATAATAGCAGGTTAAAGTTTTGCATCATAGTTCCCATACCAAAGAAAGAAGACAAGGAAGACCCCCAAAATTACAGAACTCATAAATCTTATTAACGATTACAAGCCACCCAGAGTTAATTTGAGGCAAGATGGGTGGTCAATAAATTTTACAAACAAATAAAAAACAGATATTGTTTAATCTTCATGGTAATTCCAGAATTTCTAAATTCTATGGATGTTCCCATGCCAAAAATCCTCAACAGAGACATCAACATCCTTTTGTATTCAGATTATAGAGTCCTGTGGCATAATCTCAAGTAGGCCTGAGAAGACAGATGAAGAAATATGGTGCCTAGTGCATTACTAACTTTTTGATCATCAATAAGACTAAATTCAAAGTGGTAGTTATTGGAAAATAACAGGCCAAATACAATTGGTATTTGCGTTGGGAGCCTATAAAACAAATAGATTCTTTCTCATATTTAGGAGTGGTTTTTACAGATGCAGAGTCTTGAGTCTTGAGCCAACCACTTTAAATGAAGTTCTATAAATGCAACAGCCATATCTAAAATGCTAACTAAATTACTCAGTTATAACTACTCAAGCACTCTGTCCCCATTTTAAAAGTCCACAAGGCAAAAATGGTACCAATACTAAAATGTGACACAGATCAGCAGGTCTTATCAAACACTTCCTTACTTGAACAATATCAAGTAGGCTTTTAAACTATTTTGGGAACCAACAGGAATGTACCTGCAGCAGCAGTAAGAGTTGAACAGGCACCCCTTATATTTATATTCCAACGTTCCAATCATCACTTTTAATTACTAGTGAAAGATCCTCTCAATGGAAACTGAATACGTCTGAAAGAATAGATGGACACACTTTCAATCTACCACATAGATCAATCAACTTCTCCAAATCATCTCACATCATGGCTTCTCAACTCAAAATCCATCCTCATTTGGATATTAAGTCAAAGAATATTCATATGAAGAATTTTGGATGTTGACATCCAAAAATCTGTACATTCTTACCTAAAGATAGTTGCTAATATTTTGTTTCCTTTTTGTCTTGTATCTCTCTTGATCTATCCTGAGGTCGTCTTTAGCTTCCTATTCTCCTCATGTCCCATGTCTTTCCTTAAGGATCCATCTCTCTGGATCAGCTAGGGGTAGGCAACATTCTGAGTGATTATTTTGATGACCTCATAATCACAGACATAAAAACACCCAGCTCATAATATTGCCATTGCTGGTGATCCCTATCTATGAAAAATTAAACACACACTGCAATTGCAGTTATAATATCTGAGAACTTGAAGTTGCATTGGAAAAGTTAGGCCAGTTTATAAGTAAATTAAGTGGATATAATGCTTTTGTTCAAACAGTATCTCATTCATTCATTTACACTTTTACAGTACATAGGAGTTGTTTTCTCTTATTGTTCCTACTTCGGAAACCTATTTTTCCAAGGTACAGTTAGCTGAAAGAATGGCACATGGACTAAAAATGAACCATAACAGCTTAAAGAAAAGTGTTTTTTTTTAATTATTTTACAAGAAAAGTACTTTGTAATTAATTTGTTGCTCCATCTAATTTATAGATGGGGCTACCCAGGTTTAGCTCATGAAAATAAATTGCCATTATTATCATTTAGCCAAAATTTAAAATATTATGCTTGATTTTAATTGGAAAGCTAAATGCCTTTAATTGATTTGTATTAAATTACTAAACCTTAAAGACTCCAACCATCACTTGATCATAACCATTATTTTTTTCTAGCCTTTATTAACATAATGCCAATGCATAAATTTATTTTTTTTCCTGTTGCAGCTAACCACTAAGCTTCTATGCAAACATAAAAAAAATATTGATTTTAACTTCTGTTCTAACTGACATCCTTAGGCTCTTAAATCACTTTGAAAGCATGGATTAGATGGACTTGAATAAATTAATAAAAGTTGCTAATGTAAGCTAAATTATTTTAGGACACCACAAAAAGGAATCTATGCTGGAACTACACAACAGTTAGTGATGTTCAGTTCCCTCTAAACCCAGACCATGAAGGTGTTATATTATTATTGCACTTCTTAAAGTTCCTGGGATATCGGCATTTGTGCTGTTCTTTGTGCTCTCTGAGCTTGAATTCTTGTTTACAACCATTTCATTACTTGATAAGGTAACATCATCAGTACTAATGAGTGTGGGGTTTGCTCCCTGCTTTTATATGGTAGCTTGCCCTGGCAGTATTGGTGAGGTGTGGTTCTCCAAATAACAGATTGCACCATTTTATAATATATAGAAATTCCCAATGGATTTCTTTCACATCCTTAATATGTACTGTAGATCAGTGGTTCTTAACCTTTTTGAACGAATCACCCCCGTGAGCCAATGAGGAAGTTGTCATCACCCCCCTCCCCCAACATAACCTCTCAATCACAACATAGGAAATAATTCTTCAATGTATGCAAACACTTTTTTTGTTTTCTTTAAAACTGTCATCAAAACATATTGATGCAAATAATTTATTTCCAGTCTTTTTCCCATATCTCAACTGTCTGAAAAATTTTGATGCTACCTGTCACTTTATTCCCAAACTTCGTGATACATGTATTTCATTAATATCTTATTTATTCAAGACACTTAAATGTAATGATAAGATAAGATAAGATAAGATAAGATAAGATAAGATGATAAGATAAGATAAGATAAGATAACCTTTATTGTCATTTTTATACTGTGGGCACAATGGCACACATCAAAAATGAAATTTAGTTGCCCGCTCTCAAAGTGAAACACATACATGACACACACCTAAACATACTATGAACAACATATGTATAGACCCACATCCCTATATATAAGTAGCAATAAATATTAAATATTGTCCATCTCAAATATATAACGGAAGGAGGAAGCTTGAGAGTTCTCAAGGTTAATGCTGTATGGAATGAAACTCTGAAAAGAAAAACAGTAATATCTAATGATTGAATTACAAGTGAAATTTAAGACGCAAAAAGAAATATAAAAAGGGTAGAGGCTGCTGTGCAACGCGCATGAAGATAAACAATGCGTATTCACATATGTACAGCATTCTGTACTGAAGCTAGCTGAAGGAACATTTGAAAACACAATTCAATCCACTAATAGCGAGCGATCTGATGTTTTTGTATGACAGATATGCAGCGATTCACTGTACGAAAAAGTCTCAAAAGTGTCCCCAAAACCTCTCGCTCCATCGCCCCCATATCGCCCCCTTTTTGTTCCTTTGCCCCCACATCGCCGCTTTTTGTTCCATCGCCCCCCTGAAAAATGAAATCACCCCCTGGGGGGCGATATCGCCCAGGTTAAGAACCACTGCTGTAGATCTAAATTTAGAGGCAGGATAGGCCCAAAACTTAGCACTACCCATTTACGCTAGACACAGGCACATAAAGATGGGTTGGCACAATTCATCAAATATTTTCATGAGAAGCATAAAGCCATTCTTTCCTCTATTTAAAGAGATTTATTATTCTAGAAATATTCAGCCTCACTGATCACTCCGTAAACAATCTGACATAGATAAATCAAGGCATTTCAAAGTAAACAATATCTGAAACAGGAAATTTGATGTAATGGGATCACCTCCTCTGGAAAACAAAGTAAAATCACACTTAAAATGGCAAGGGAAAATGCATGTAGCTAAACTGAGATAATTTAGACCCTCCAACAAGATTGGTTCCTAATCTTGACAGTGATGTAAGGTCCTTGTGGCTTCACTGCTCTTAAATTAATCCTTCTTGTTCCCAACCTCTTTTAATTTCTATGGATTCCAGTCAGTAGCTTGCAAACTGCATATTTATAATGAGTATAAAAGGTGATCTCTCATATTTCCTTCTGGTTAATAACTTGTTTGGTAAAAATACACTATATATAGAATATTAATTCACGTTCTCTGTCTTGTTTCATATCTCTTTATCAACTTGTCCTTGAACTAAGAATTTAAATAGTAGGTTGATGTTTGTGTTCTTTAAAGCTGAATGCACAAGCTTGGGGTAATCATTCAATTTATTTCAATGTTGCTTAGCACTGCACTGAACTATTTGATTTGGTTCTTGGTTTCTGATATGGAGAGTGGGGTACAAGAAAAGAAAACAACATATATTGTACATTGCATATTTTGAAGAGATATTAAATCGCTGTCTATTTTCCAGTGTCTGGGGCAGAGGGAAGATTGAACCTCTAGTGGATAGGTTGTTTGGGGTGATGTTCGTAATTTGTTGGGTCTTTTGGTTGGTTTCTTTATATTAAGCCATCCAGAATTGTTGGAAGTTGGTGACTTTACTGTTTACTTCATATATTTTAAATTTGTTGGAGACATTTTAGGAAGTCTATGGTGCTTGTGCATCTTTCCAAAAATGATGAAAACATTTATGTAGCATTTAAAATGAGGATTGTGAGCAACAGGATTTTTTTTCCACTGAGAGAAAAGTTTAATACCTTCTAAATTATACTGCTAGATTATATGTATTCTTCCTAATTTATGTATGTATTTGCCAACTATCAGAGCAGTGATGAGGTGCCCAGGCATTTTTTTTTCTTTTTTGGATTCAGAGACAATAAGCGCACCAGTAAATAGAGGGATTTTAAGCTTTATTATTTGCTCAAGTAAACATTTAAAAGTATAACATAAAAAAGCATACATACTAAGCAAGATGATGCCTTAAGCTGCCAGGAATTCATCAATAATGAAGCAGGGATACCCGATATGCAGCCAATTGCTAGCTAATGCTAGTTTCTGTTGCAGAAGCTCCTCCCTAATAATAACCCTGCAATTTTTATCAAAATCTGGCACCATGATTTCATGGCCCTGCTATGATCAGGAGATTGCAAGACCTGATCTTAACTGATTGGCATATGACTCTGGGATAAGAATCCAAAGTCTGAGGTGTTAGGCAAATATGGCTTCCTAGGCTCGTGCTTTGGCATGCATACTTTCCAATGAAACAGAGACAGGAAGATCATTTTATTATGATTTATTCAGAAGATTCTGACTAAAAAGGATTCCTCTCATCCAAAGAGGGAACCTCACTCCTCAGCTTTCAGTTCTTCTAGTTAACACATCAAAGAAAATGGTAGAGAAAAGTTGATTGGAACAGGACAAAAGTAACCCCTTTTGTGGTAAATCAGCTACATGGAGTTAAATAGCCGTTAAACATATTACATGTGACAAAACATATGTCCATTTAAATGAGGTATGACAAAAGGTATGAGGTGTTAAATTTAAGATGTCAGTGATGAAAAAAAGTCATCAGGCTGTTTGGAGTTCACAGAGAGAAAAATCAAATACCAATTAGCACTAACAGTTTTCCCTTATCCAAGGACAAACTTCCCATCGTATCCTGACTTGAGTAACAAAGACAGTGTTTTAGCTTGAATTTTAGGAATGTTAAAAGGGATCAATCAAACCATTAGCATCATTTAAAAAGAGAAAAATAAGTCAAATTAAAATACAAAATAACTATGTTAGTCAGCAAGTACAATGCAGTACCACAAAGTCCATACTGTTGGTTCTACAAAGTCGATCCTATGTGAGCCTCAGAGACTTCCACAGTGGGAAAAGTTTTGAAGCTAAGATTCCCCATCCCCTTTCTCCATTTTTCAGCAAGCAAGGATTTAAAAACAAGCAGGCTAGCTCAGAATGATCTCTAAACTTTTAGATTTTTCTTAAAATGAAGGAGAAATCAAAATGTCACTGATTCCCCATTGTCACTATAATAGATTGGAGAAAAGATAACAAAATGAAATTCAATGGTGAAAAAAGTAAAGTTCTACATTTAGGCAAGAAAAATCAAATGTACATGTATAGTATAGGGGGTACCTTGCTCAATTGTAGTAACTGTGAGAGGGACCTCGTAGTGGTAGTGGACAATCATTTAAATATGAGCCAGCAGTGTGCTGCAGCTGCCAAAAAGGCCAACACAGTGCTGGGCTGCATTAACAGAGGGATAGAATCAAGATCATGTGAAGTATTAATACCACTTTTCAATGCCTTGGTAAGGCCACACTTGGAATACTGCATCCAGTTTTGGTCACCACAATGTAAAAAAGATACTGAGACTCTAGAAAGAGTACAGAGAAGAGCAACGAAGATGATTAGGGGACTGGAG